TTGTGTGGCTTGCTTGAGTGACTGCAGCCTGCGGGGAGGGACTGAGACTGTTCCGCTTCGGCTTCACGTAATGGGTCTGTTTTTTTTTTTTTCTTTTTCTTCCTTTTTGGGGTTGAGTTGATGTGCTGGTGTGTGTGGATGCTTCTCTGATGAGAGTGGCACCTGTGATTATTGTATTGTGAGTGCCTTGTGTGCTGTTGGTATCCTGTTGTTGTTGTTGTTCTTTTCTTGTGTTTTTCTTTTCTCTTCTCTGCAGGTGTGTGACTCCGTGTACATTTTAGGGAATGCCGCAGTGCCTCTCTGATATGAGCATGTGAGAGTGTGCGTGTGCGGCTGTCTGTGCCATTGTGTGTGGGCTGTGGGTGGGAAGGGGGCTTTGTGCTGCTGGACCCCTCCACTGCGGTGCGGTTGGGGCCGGGCGTGGGGAGAATAGAACCCTGCGGTGTTGGCCTCTCGTCTGGCTCTGTAGTGTGTGAGTGGTTTACTGTTGATCCCCCATTAGGTTGTGTTTGATTGCTGCTTTGTGATGTGTACTCTCTCTCTCTCTCTGTGTGTGTGTGGTGCCCTCTACCTTGTGTGTTAAATGTGCGTCTCTTTTCTCCTTTTACTCTTCTTCCTTGTTACCACAGACCCAAGCAACCCACAGTGACAATCATGATAACGATGTTCATCCAACTGCGCCGCGTGGTGTACCTGTTGGTACTTCTGCAGTGTTGTGCGTGTGTGGCATATGCGCAAAGTGGTGATACGACCCCAACAGATTCTGAGGAAAAGAAAATTATACAGAACCTGACTGAATTGAGAGCTAAGATGGAAAAGAAGAAGGATGAAATTAATGTTATCCTTGTGTCATTAAAAAGCGTAAAGAATGAATGCAGTGAAGCGTCGAAGCGTGCTCAGAATGCAGCAAAGACGGCCGAAGAACTTGAAAGCGTTGTTATGAATACTTCAGTCCTTATTTTGCAGTCATCTGAAAGTTTGAATGAGAGTGAAGTAAAAGAGGAGTTAAGGAATGCAGTTTATGCTGTAAGAGAGGCCACTAATGCCGTTGAAAAGACAAATTTGATAGCTGAAAAAATAAGCAATTTGGCGCATGAAATTCAAAAGGGGGAAATTGATTTGGTTAAAGTGGTGGATGATGTTGAGTGGATTACTGATGATTACATTAACAATGAAGATGAAACGAGTCTCTCAGGGGGTAAGAAAAAAATACAGCAATTGGCTAAAGAGTGCAAGAAAGAAACGAAGGAAGTAGATACTTTCCTTCAGCATGTCAATGAGGACACTAGAAGTGCTCGCAGTTTAGCGGAGGAGGCCCAGAAACAGGCGGAAGCTGCCTCCGCTGCAGCAGAGTATCTTCAGAAAATCATTGATGATATTTTCGAACGGCGCCCTCAGATTAAAGCAGATCTGGAACGTGAAATTGAGGAGGAGAATCAAAGATTAACTGATACCACGACAGCAAATGAAGGTAAGGAACCACTGGACAATAATGAGGTGTTAGACGGTGCACTTCCAAATAAACAGAATGAGACGGGAAGCCACGCAAATGCCCAACAGCAGCAGAATCAACAGAACTCTGAGAATAAAAATGAAGAAAGCAATGTTGAAACACAAGAGAATAATAATAGTTCTCAGAGCAAAACTCCAACACCCAGTAATTCATCTGCTTCTGGATCCTCGCCATCACAAAACACGCCGACTAATACTTCTT